CCCCCCCCCCCCCCAATATATAAGAGTAAGAGTATTATGCAGTTGCCTCTATACACACTAGTCAAACACACAAATTGGGACAAAAATATTTTTTGAAATAAAATATTCTATAATAGATGTTTGATTTTTAGTACATAATTAATTTTTTTTTTCTGGTTCCAAGATTGCAATCTCCCAAAAGGAGTACTTCTAGGGACAAGGGGAGGGACTTCTGGGGACAAAGGTCAGGGGTTAGGGGTGGGACTTCTGGTCACAAGATAGCAACCAGGGGGGCGGGCTACCTGTCAAAGGGTGGAGCTACCCTTGTAGCCCTCCACAGTTCACCAAAACTTGTTAAGCGGCCCTCCAGCCAAAATAATTACCCACCCCTGCTCTAGACTACAAGAGTAAGGGAAGCATTGGGGCCACCAAGACTGCAATACCTTTTGAAAGAAATTGGCAGGGCGATGAGGGGACAGGAACATGGCCCAGCTCTTTTCTGTGCTGGTTGGCAGGATTGGTCTACACTACTCCTTTTAAAAGGAGTGGATAAGCACTGTCCTCTTCACACTCCTTCCAGTGTCACTGGACAAGTACTGTCTGTGCACTTCGGCACCTCCATCTAGTATCATCTTTAGTTCCTGTTTATATTGTATTTGTGTATGTGAGAAGCAGGGATCCGGGTTTTCCATTTGCCATGGTAAAATGTGGTAAAACATGGATTTTCTCAGGTGAAAAACGCAGGAAATGGTGGGTTTCTCTTTGCAGGCTTGCAAAGTTCCAGCCTGCAAGGAGCTGGGGGAAGTGGGGGGAAGGCGGTCAGGCAGGGGGCATCATGTGCAAGTGCACATGCACCTGTGCACATGGCTTCCAGGCAGCCTACAGAGCTTCTGCAGGTAAGTCTGGCACAGGTGGGGGTGGGAATTGAGGCCCCCATAGCAAAAGAGGGAGGGAGTTAGGCAGTGCATGGGACTTGGGGCCTGGTGTTAGAATGTGCAGCTGTAGGGCTCAGATGGGGAGCGGGACAGAGCTGTGGGCTGCTTGTCCAGGCAGCAGGGGGAGTGGGGCTGGCTCTCTGCTGCTGTGTGCACTTCTGGGGGGAGGCATGGGGGCATGTGCCCCCCCCCCCCCAGATGTGTGCGTGGGGTGAGGGCTGGGGCGGGCTGCACACTGTGGACTCGGAGCTCCATAACCAGCTGCCCTCCCCCTGAGGCCTCTGCAGCCCAGTGGGCGGGACCCAGCATGGCAGTGCAGAACAGGGTGGGGCAGGAAAGCTCAATGCCATCACCACTGGGAGTCCCACGCTGTCATGGCGAGGTTCCCCTGCCCACCTGGCAGCAGGGTGGATGGCAGTGCAGAGGGCATCTGGCTGTGGCAGCGCAGGGTTCGTGGCAGCAAGTCATGGTCCTGCTTCTCCCTGCGACACTGGATCCTGCGTGCTGGTAGGGCTGTACGAAATACCATAGTTTTGTTTTGACGTCCATTTTGCCGTTTCAAAGGGACAGTGTTCGTATTGTCATTTCATTTTGTTTCAAAGCACTGTCCAACTTTGTTTCGTTGAAACTGTTTCGCTGTTTCAACGCGTTTTGATGTTTCACCCATAGGCTATAATGGGGAATCATGAAAATGCCTAAAACGTTGTCATTTGTTGCCTGATTCAGATGCAAATTGTAGGGATGGTATCCCCTTCTGAGGACATGAAGCCTGCCAAGTTTCAAGGAGATAGGTACAGAGGTTTCTTGAAAACTGCACCTCAAAGTCTTGAAAGCAAAACTCTAGACACTTGCTGGCAGTGACAGCCTCCTGTCATCTGGCGCACAGAGCCAGGGGCCTGCACCCCTGGGAGGGCTGTGCCAGACTCCTCCTGGGGGTGCAGGCCCCCAGATCTGCACTGGATGACAGGAGACTGCTGCCGCCTGGGACCGGCACTGGGCACAGGCTGCACCCAGTGCCGGGGAAGACAGATGCTGCCACTGGCCCCAGGCAGCAGCAGCAGTCTCCTGTGATCCAGGCGTAGATCTGGGGGCCCGTACCCCTGGGAGGGTGCAGGGCTGTGCCAGACTCCTCCCAGGGGTGAAGGCCCCTGGATCTGCACTGGATGACGGGAAGCTGCTGCTGCTGCTTGAGACCAGCGCTGGGCATAGCCTGCATCCAGCGCTGGGCTTCATGGAGCTCAGCCCGGTAGCGGGAGGTGGGCACCCAACCCAGCCCAGCCCACAGCCCCATGGAGCTCAGCCTGGCGGCAGGAGGCGGGCAGAGCCAGTGCTGTGCTCTGCCTCCTGCCGCTGAGCTGAGCTCCATGGCAGGATCAGGGGCATGTGGGTGGGAATTGAAGGGCAATGGCATAGGCAGGGCACCAGCATATTAGGGCTGCTCAGTACCGCAAAGCAGATGGCTTGGGGGACAGCTGCAGTTGGACCCATATCCTAATGAGCAAAGGGGGCAGGGGGAGCTCTTATTTTCCATGATAAAAAACCCAAAATCAAACGCCAAAAGTTATAAGTATTTATAATTTATTTTATTATAGGGATTGAGGCACTGATTGGCTTCCAAATTGCTTTAAACTTGTAAATATATCAATAAAACATTGTGTTCAGCTGATACCTATGTATATAGTGGCATTTCATTTTAATCATGGAAAAATATGGATTTGGCGTTTTTTAATCAGAGAATTTGTGATTTTTTTCTGTTTTGGCTAAATCAGAGAATTTGTGATTTTTAAACAGAGAAAACCAGGATCCCTGGTGAGCAGTAGTGGAGAAAGCAGAACCAAGTTGTGGAAATAATCTTATTTCATTTCTTTTAAAGGTTACGCAGGTACAGAGTCATTGGGAGTAGCAGCTCGGACTCAGACCTTATCTCTCGTCTGGCTCAAATCCTTCAGAATGGATCTCAAAGACAAAGGAGTTCCACCCAGTGTAAGAGTCCAGGATCTCCACATAGCCCCAAAACACCACCCAAAAGCCCCGTCATCCCCCAACGCAGCCCTAGTGCCTCCCCTAGGAGCTCTTCTTTACCCCGTACTGCCAGTTCTTCACCATCCCGGGCTGGGAGGCCTCACCATGATCAGAGGAGTTCATCCCCACACCTTGGAAGGAGTAAATCACCTCCTAGCCATTCAGGCTCCTCATCTTCTAGGAGATCCTGCCAACAAGATCACTGCTGCAGTAAACCAAGCAAGAATGGTCTGAAAGGATCTAGCAGTTCTTACCATCATTCCCCCAACACTAAAACCCCGACAGGGAAGAGCAAATCCACCAGTAAACTTAGCAGATAGGAACTGGGCCTTGACAGGTGTAAAAGCCTCCTCCTAAATCTGATGCATGTTGTGTCTGTGTACTGTGTATTTAAAAAAAATGTTGAATCCTCGCTTTCAAAAGAAAATAACCATATAATAAATTCCTTATGACAAGACATACTGTATAAATGAGTGGCCAGGCATTGCCTAAAAACAGGCAGCAAGCAGATCGGAGGGTGGGAGAGGGAGGAGGGAAGAGGACTGTGTCAGGACAGTCTAAGATATGTGAAACTTTTAATGTTAAAAATATCTCTAAGGTGAGTGTTTTAAAACTTTTTTTTTTTTAATTATTTATTTTTATTTTGCTTAGCTAGGAGAGTTGGCCTAATTATTTAAGGCATGTCTCAAAAGAATATGTAACAGAACCTGAAACGTGAGTTTTTATTTCTACATTGACACCACCACCTCTAAGATGGGGACTGCTGAGGCCTGTATTTGTAAAGTTTTAAATAAGCACATTATTTGGACAACTGATATTTCTGATTTGCACATCTTTTCAGTGTCAGGCTGTGCACGTCTTTTTCCAAGTCAACTCAGTGCCCTTTCTGTTCTCCCTCTCCCGTGGCGCGCATTTCCCTACCTAAAAAAATAACAAACGTTACCCCTTCTTTTACACTGATGACATGTTAAAAATGAATGTTAGCACTTCCCAGAAGAGTTTTTGTAGCAATATTTTGCAGGGCATTAAGAACTTAATCTTCAATTGTACTAACTTTGCCTTCCAGCACCATGTGCTCCTTCCTGGCATGCATCCTGGAAGCAGTAATTCCAGTCTGAGATCTGGATGAAGGAAAGAAAAGTCTGCGCCCCAGAGGACGGTTGCAGATTTACAATATTGTGCAGTATATGTTAGGTCAGGTGTGTGGTAATTGTTTACAAGCTTATTTGCTTACAAGAGAGTGCCCTTTTTCACATTAGTAATGGTACACTTAAGCCATTTGGCATTATTCACAATGTCACTCTCAACATCAAACTCGGAATAACAATGTTGAGGAATTGAGACAATTACAAACTCTGATTAACATTTTACCTTATAATTCTAGTTCATAAAGATGAAATGTAGGTTGTTTTTAGGGCTAAAAGGCAAATGCAGGATCTGTAGACTTTGGGGGCTTATAGTTGAGCAAATAGGCCTTCACTTCCATCTCTTACAGAGTCTGTATGAGATTGTTTGGCATCAAAACCATAAAGAAAACAAATCTTAGACAACTTCCTTGGTGTCATTCTTGTCTTCCCCTTGCCCATATGTCCCTGAGAAGCTTTGTGTCATTGTCTGTGGAATAAAGTCCATGGTATTTAGTTGCCCCAAACAAACTTTATTTAATGTCTCTTAATAATCACTCATGCTGTAGAGGATCATTGTAGGACACTTAGAGGTACAGCAGCTTTTAATACATTCAGAAATGGAATAGTAGGTCAGAATAGTAAAACTCAGAGGTGTAAGCATAAAAAAGATGCAGCCAGCATCCCTAATACTATGTATCTCAGAGATGCTGGATGTGTGGGAACCTTGTTAGTTACTGATCTGCTTGCTGTAGCCATATGCCTCTTCAGCCAGCATCTGTGCTTTTTATTTAACCTCTGTTTGCTGCCAAACGAATACCTTTGGATTCAAAAGGGAATATTCCTTCTCTGAGCTAACACGTCTCTAATGCTGCATCAAAGCTGTCCTGGAGCTGCACTGAATTTCACTTGTTCTGTCTGATTGTGTTGGAATTTTTTTTATTAACATGTATATTGTTTCCCGTAAGTAATGTAGCACAGTGTGGAACCTTAATTTCATTCAGGTTTCAAGCACTACAGAGGAATGCAATAGGTAGGATATACCTGCTTTTTTTGAAGAAACTGTACCATTGGAAAGGCCTATTTCTTTGTATTATATTGTATAATAGGTGCTATACTAATAATTGCATGTCCTCATGGTAAATTATATAATATAAATATTTATAAATATATATATATATATACATATATACATATGCTTATATAAACTCGCTTACTCTTTCTCATTCTTCATTTGTAATTTATGGACCATAACTGATGCAGTTCTGATTTCTGTTGTGTGCCTGAATCTCTTGACATTGCATCTCCCATTTCCTGAAAACAGTTGTCTGGCATGCACAAAGTCTAACAGCCATCACGCCTCAGTATGGGATTGAAGGGTTGGTGATTTCTCAGCAAGCCAGTGTTTTGCCTTGCAGCATTTCCTTTTTATTTATATTTTCGTGTGTGTGTCTCTATGTGAAACAGGAACAGCGACTCGAAGGCACTGTATCTTTGATTCCAAGATAGGATTTGTGATTACTGGTTTTTATTTTACCATGTGAGTTTTACATCTCCAATATTGCTTATGACACAGGAGCAGTGCTAATTAATGAATATCTAACAGATAAAACTGACAAAAAAAAATCAATCCCTTTATGATTTCTTAACTTATTTATTTCTGGTACACAGTAAAGAGAGTTGTATCCCAAAATACACATCTTTCCCCAGGGCCTGCATATACTGCTTCCTAAGGCAGTTCATGTTTTTCCTCATTTTTTTCTGAAGAGCATTCACTGTGGTCTTTAGGATCTCTTTCTTTCACTGAGGTTATTTTTGCCATGGACTTTACTGGGGGCAGTCCAGGCTTTATGGCCTTCCCCTGTATGGAAATTAAAGTGTTTCTGGATCCTGACATAGTGGTGTCCAGAAACAGGCAATCACCATTATTGTAGGAATAATTTGTTTTAGCAGTGAGGAGAAACATAATATAAACATAATATATAAAGAAGCTTTACTACCCTCTTCTTGAAACTAAAGATACCATTGTTGCACATTATTCCCAAAACCCCAGAAAACGTAGGTGTTGTCAAAATACATTAGTACACTTGCACTTCCTGCCAATGACAAGAGTGGAAGTAGGTCAGACTGGGGATAAAAGTTAAAACAAATAATGATACTCATGGTTATTTCAGTACAATGCATGGAAAAGAATAACATGTTCCTGGTAGTGGCGTACTACAGATTTGGGTGACCAGCACTGATTCAGTAGCTGGTTAGAAAGCCATTGAATTGCTAATGGAAGCAGCATTACATGTTTGTTCTATCCTATCCTGTACTCTTCCCCCTCACTCCTCTACTTTTTGGATTATGTGGCACCTTTTTGCCCCATTAAGTTCACAAAATTTAGTATTATGAACTAATTTAGCCATTAGCATATGAAACTGCAATAATAATCAAACCTGATATCATTGTTACCCTTGCAATATTTTAGGGGCCTCTCTCATCATCAAGGACCCTGTAGAGAATTAATGCCAGCAATTTAAACATTATTATTATGCATTTAACTCCAGTTGTTAAAAACATAAAAGGATAAATCATTGGTCACTTTGCAAACTGAGTAAATGGCTTTGTGGAGGGGACCTATGCAAGACAGGCAGACAGAGAGAGAGATTCCTTTCTAGGTTTGAAAGCAGTTGTAGTCTATTCTGCATAGGCTGCAGTAGTTTACACACAGTTCTTAGTCAGTGGAACCATATGGCTCATCACACCCCCTCCTTCCATTATAATCTCCAGTTATGTAGGAGCACCTGCCCGGAGCTGTGATATACAAGTCTTGAAGGCTCCTTCTGCAGAATTTCTCTTTAATGTCTCCCATGTGCTCCCAAACTGTGGCAATTCTCCTAATGTTGGAGGTGTTTCTACCCACATGAAGTCTAGGCAGAGGACAGAATTTGCCCCTTCCTGCATGGCCAATGCTTTGGAGCATTTTGATACAGCTGTCAGTATGGGCCCCTTAATATATTAAGTACAATAAAACCCAACAACATATGATACTTCAGTCCCAAACAACAGATTTTTGTGCTGCTATTTTGCACGACTGAGTGTGTTTAGTTTACAGTCTTAAAAATGTACAGTAGTATTGGTAAAATCTTTGAATGGTATAAATTGACAGTATGTCTAATTATAAGAAAAATCCTGCCCTAACCTGAAGAGTTATATGTTGTGCTAGAGTTGACAGAGAGCATTGCCACTAGAGTAGGACAGGATGGCTTAAGGTGGGCATGGGTAATATGCTGCTAGGTTCACACTGCTGCTCTAAGAAAAGAGTGTTTGGCCCTGCCACAGTTACAAGCTGGAGGTCCCAATAGTCAGCAGTCACCTTTGGGAACTTGCAGGACAGAATCTGCCAATGTTATTTGCATGGGTGAGAAGCTTTTAATGCCTACACCTCACAGAACACTCATGTGCCACAGGGCAACATCTTGTCCAATGTGTTTTAAGATGTGCTTAAAACCACTCTTAATTACGATCTGAGTTCTAAGACCTGCATTGCTTACATAGCTTAGGGTTATGTGACGTAAACTATATCGGGGAGATATTAAACTTGGTCTTTTGAAGGTAGTTCATAAAAGTGTGCGGGAATGGCTTCAGTCATTGCTTCTTTGTTTGTTAGACTTCAGCTGCTAGAGTTATTTGAGGCCTTAGTGTACTTTCATTTATTCTGAATTCCTCTTTGAACTTACCAGTCTTCAGCTCTGGCATAATTCCATCACTGGCCCTCTTCCAAATGGCAGGCCTGATCCTACAATCCTTTCTCGGGCAAAATTCTCATATTCTTTATGCATCGTGTGGAAATGACTGGGCTGTAATGCTGCTAAGAGTGTAATTCTTTTCCTGTAAAGAAGAATGTGGGCAAGGCTAGACTGTACACTACATTCTTTTTTTCCTGTAAACATGTGGCCTTTTCCATGATTGTTCCTTTTTACCACTGTACTAGAGGACATGACTTTTGGTAGCAGTGTCAATATAACAATGAAGAGCTGCCGGAGGATGATTATTTCAGTTTCTAAAAAAGTAAGTTAGAGGCAAAGAACCTCTAACTTGCCTATATTTTTAAATATATTTCTTTCCTTTTGTTTCACTTAAAAACATTGTTTTTGCATTTCCTCATTGTGACAGACTGAACCTTCCAAAAATGAATTGGAGGAATACACCAATTGGTTTCCTGTCACTAGTGTATAAAATAATACTCTTGTTTTCTTACAAAGCTAATCTGTGAGGAGGTGCTGAATGTCCTCACCTTCTGTTGACTTCAATGAGAGAGGGCATTCACCTTGCAGGACTAGGCACAAAAGGTACACTTTATTGTTCAGATGACTAGTTCTTTATCTATGCTTCCACTATCCACAGTTGGCAGCCTGGAATTTAACCAACCTGTAGCATCTAACCATGCCTTCTCTATTTAATGGCGCTGAAAGATTTGAATGGTCCTTGCTATTACCACAACTTGTAGAGCAGTACTTAATCCTTTCTTGTACCTCTTTGGGGCATACACAAGGAATGCTTCTACAAGTTGCCCCACATCACCATAGTGATGCACTGTGGCACACTACGGTGACATAGTGATCACACATGGGTCTACAAATGATCAGCAGCTACATCACTGTAGTGTGCTCCCGTTTTAGTGCACTGCTATGGCAAGATAGTGGCTAAATCAAATTTTTTGCTGTGTGCAGGGCGCAGTATGAGCAATTACTGCTCCATGCTTTAGTACTTCCAAAAGTACTAAAGTATAGTGCCATATCAACATTGCCATATGGCAATATGTAGATGCACCCAATATAAATAAACTAGACAGAGAACTTTGCTTTTAGTTAGATTTGCAAATGCATTTGCAGTTTTCAGTAATCAGTAACTTTGGAAAAGGGACAGAGGTTCATTTTTTTTGCTGAGAATGACATATAAGGACAAGTCTTATGGACCATGGATCTTAAGATAATGCATAGGTACATACAGTTTACTTTAAATGTTCTTGCCTTCCTACCTGAAGATCAGTCTTACTCCCCCCCCCCCCCACCCTGGGGGGGGGGGGGGGACCGGGGAATTAAGGGGGGGGAATTTGGAAATGCTTCCCTGGTTTTTTCGCAC